CTGATGGCTTTGCGCTTATGAGCGCTGATGGCTTTGCGCTTATGAGCGCTGAGGAAGAAGTGAAGGAGATGCAGGCTATTTCATTTTTGACTGAGAATCGCTTCCCGCCAACTATTGCAATCCTGGACATTGGATGCACTAGAGCTATGGGATCAAGGCGAGCAGTCGACCATTTTTGCAACTATGTCGACAATCACCCAGATTGTGGATTATGGTACTCCCTTGAGGCTACCAAGAGCAAGTTTTACTTTGCCAATTCCCAGAAGGCTACTTGCTCTCAGAAACTGGTGATTTACATGTATGATCGTGCATGGACGATCCACCGTACAGAGTTCGACATAGTGGAAGAAGGAGAAGTCCCTTTGCTTATGAGCTTGCCACAGATGAGGAACTTAGGCTTTGAACTCAGGCTGACACCTCAACATGCTTATCTGACCTCGGTGCCTCTTGGTATCAAGTTTTTGGAGTTGAAGGTTGCAGCCAGTACTCATCTTGTGTTGGACTTCCAAGATATTGCATGGTATCTGTCTGACGTGCGTTGGCAGACTCAGCGTGAGAAGAGTTTTTACTCTCACCTCACTCACTATGAATATGGCCATATTTCTGTTGAACACAATAGTGATGAAGGTGAAGCTGAGCATGCATATCCTGTGGTTGATTTCTGGGAAGTAGATGTTCACAAGAGAGAACTGATACGTCACCACAAGGATTACAGGAAAATTCTTTTCCCAGCAACTAAGTCCTGTCCTGTAGACACTGACTTGCTGGAAGACTTGCGACTGACAATCATCAAGAAGAAAGCAGGAGGAGAAGAAATCAAGAAGACAGATGATTGGCGCAAGGCAAAATGGAAGGACCTACAACTTGGCTATGAATGGCGTGGTAGAACAATTTTTAAATTTAAGCCAGATGCCAAAATTCCAGATCTAAAGATCAGGAAGGCTGGCATTGAGCACCGTGGCATTGGTGATCCCGATGCAGTGGTGCGCTCCTCCTCAGAGAAGGTTCCCATTGCAAAGGACAGGGAACCAGGCTTCTCATCAGAGAAGGAAGGTGTACCATCCAGTGCCGCGGAAAAGCCCGTGCCGCCAAAGTTTCGGTATACTTCCAAGGGTTTTGATCCATTTTGGAAAGGACACAAGTCGAAACCATCTGAGCCTCAGAATGATTTAAAGGGTGATGATCTTGAGGAGTATGCTCCTTCAGAACCACCTGAGAGGCCAGAAGGTGAACTTGTAGAAATTCCTAAAGCATCAAAAGGACCATCAAGTGATAAACATGAACCACTTGAACCAGGTGATGGCGCTCTTGAGCCCAGGCGGATTTCAATCCCATTACCTGGTAGTGAAGTTGTTGCAATGACACCGGCATATAGGAAGATGTTACAGAGACTGGAGGACAAGGTAGAGCTTTATAAGCTTCATGTGAAGCACTACCACATGAGTCCTACTCAGTTTCGTAGACGTGTTTCTATGTTGAAGCTTCCTGACTCTGTTTTAGAGAAGTATGAATCAGTTGTCAGGAACTGCCGTGTTTGTAACACTTCAGTGGCACCTCCGCCACCAGCCAGAGTCTCCGGTATTAGAGCTTCATGTTTTGGTGATGTTGTTTTTGCTGATCATTGTGAGGTTGAACTTCACAAGAACAAGTATATCATTTTACTTGTTCTTGATGGTGCCACAAATCTTCTCTGGGCTACGGCGCAGAAAGACCTCATAGATCAAACCACCATCCAAGCATTGAGGCAGTGGTCTGATGAGAACAACTGTGTTCCAAAGGCCATCGTAGGAGACGAAGCCTTTTTCACTGATGCTTTTGTTGAATACTACAGGTTCCATGGTATACAACAATGTCCTTGTGGGCCAAGAACTCCTTGGCCGAACCGAGCAGAGACAGCTGTACGTTTGTTCAAACGTATGTGGCATGTTATGAAGGTAGATCTGGACGACCCACGTTTTCGTGGTGTTACGGTCAGAGAAGTGGTCAAGAAGGTAGTTTGGGCAAGAAATTGTCAGTTGACTATCAGTGGATATTCACCAATAGAGATAGCAACTGGAAGACGTCCACCAGATCTTTTTGACCTTGAGACCGCAAGCCCTGAGCAATTGTCAGCTAATGCCGCCGCACAAGATCGTACAAATTTGGAACTACAACGTGTGGCTTTGAGAGCTCATCAAGAAGCACGACAAGCTCAGGACCTTCGAGCAGATCTTGCGAGAAGGACTATGCCAAGTGACGGTCCTTATTTCCAAGGAGAGAAGGTTTTTGTTTGGACTCAGGATTCATCAAAGTTCAAGGATAAAGGACGTTGGGTTCGTGCCACAGTACTTGGACAAGAAGGAGCTATGGTCCAAGCCAATACTGGTAAGGCAGTGATACGTGTGAATCAGTCGAAGGTTAGACGTGATCACGATGAGTGGCATGATGTTTCCATCC